TTCAGATTTATTTGAAACAAAATATGTTGAAATTTTTAAAACGTGTTTCACATAACACACATGTATGATACATTCAAAAAAAGGTTTCTACAACAGGTTGCAAATATTTTCATGTATAAAATTAATCTCGTTAATTAATATACGAAATTTTCGTAATTTGTGGCATGATACTTGGATCATCAGATCATCGTAATTCCGTGGCAAATGAAAGAGATAGTACTTTAATTTATATAATCATATAAATGCAGAAAAACACACATATATTAGTTTTTTATATAAATAAACTAGTCCACGGAATCACCACATATATCGAAATTAATTTACTCTAAAATTAATCACCAAAAATGTATCTGGATTCTCGATGAGAATAATTAATTTTTTTACGCCTTTTTGTGGTTTTGTGCCATCGGAAACACGTCGCCTATCGACGATACTCAGGGAAACGAGTCATCTGGTTATTTTCTCGTTCTCTGGCCGAGAGGAACTTGTTCGTTCTTTCGTTCGAGGAATCGAGAAACACGTTCGCCGGCTTGCACAAGCTTTTCTATCCCTCCTACAAGCGACTTCGCGTTCGAACTCCTACGATAAGTCGAGGCAATGGCTCACGCGAGCGACTTAAGTAAATCGCGCAACCGTGAAATTACGCCGACTCACGCGTTTATTTTTAATCACGCACACACCGCCGGTATCGATCTAATTTGAATATCGCCTGTACGATTACACCACCGTTTGCACGGGGAACATTGTGTTCACTTCACGTGGCAAAAGACGTCTTAATCGTATCTGCGGCGTAACGGAGTATAATCGTCTCTATAACTCTGTGTCTTTCACCATTTCTCGTCTGATGGCGAAAATTTCGAGCAGCGACGCAAATTTGAATTTTGTAGAACGTATAATTATAGAAAGAATAGACAGTGATGTGTAATTAATATATAATTTGACAGAACTGCGTTAATTCTAATAACAATATTTATTATTAAAGCATAGATATAATATATTAATTGTAATAGTTATTATCAATATATAATTAATCTATTATTGTATCAATATTAATTTATCTGTATTTAAATTATTGTTATCTACTATACAAGACACGTGTGTGGTTGCTCAAGATCAAACTTAGATTGGAAAGTCTCGAAATATATAATATAATGCATTTTATACAGGGTGTCCCGTAACTAGCGGTACAACCGAGTAGAAGGTAAGAATGAATCGAAAAAGAAGAATAAAAAGTTTTTTATTAAAGCCTTCGTCCTCGAGAGAATCGAGTTTGAAAATTTGTCAAGTATAACATTAGCTTATTAATGTTAGAATGATCGACAAGAGGTTATCCTACGTGCGAAAATGTAGAGTAAAATTCTTTTGTAACATGCTTCGTTTTCGAGAAAAATCACACATTTTGAAACATATTCAAAGTCTTGAACGAAGAAAGTTTTATTCTACGCTTTTATAGAATATCCACGCAAAGTGTATATGTGTGTGTGTGTATAAATTTGAGTATATTTGAGAAATCTTTAAGCTCGATTCTCTCGCAAATGAAGGCTCTCATGAAAGAATTTTATTCTCTCCTTTTACACTTCCTACTCTCAGTTACAACTAGAACACCCTGTATATTTGGACATGTCTAAATACTCGCGACGAGTGCTTCTTACCATTTGGATCGCTACGCTGCTCGAAAAGTTGTTCAATTTCAGACACTCGCTGCTTTCGATTCTGACTCACCGATAGTTCACGAGTGGAACTGTAAAGCAAAAAGTTCGCTCCGCTCAAGTTGGATAAATTAAATCGGTCGATCCTGATGATCGGTCTCCCCTTGGGAACGCGCCACTCGTGGAAAATCTTTGCGTGGCATCTGGGAAGCCAGAGCTCTGCACGGTGATTTACGACGCATTATCCACGGCCGATAGGGGATCGCGTAACGATCGCTGCGGCGA